TATATCAAAATAGCCAAGACATCTTTCCATGTATTTGAGAGACAATTGTTATTTCTTTCAAAAAATTGTCTAACATATCTCTCACCCATTTTTCTAATGGTTTGTTGCTTTTTTCCTTAATAATTTGTAGGTACCTTTTACATGAAGGAAATTAGCAATTTGCAATATGAGTTTCAAACATTTTCCCCAATTTGTTGCATGTCTTTTAACTTTGTGAGTTTTTCCATTTAAAACATTTTCAGGACTCAAATTCACCCATCTTTTTTTAGGTTTTACTTCTGAATTGTGTGTGATATTTTAAAAGACTTTCCCAAGCTGACATATATAAATGCCTCACCTTCATTCTAGTACTTTTAGGATTGATTTTTTTACATTTAGAATATCAATCCACCTGGAATTTATTTTCATATCTGATATAAAGTAAAAAGCCAACTTTATTTTGGCAAGTTAGTGGTCCCTAAACCATATACTGGTGAATCCTTATTTTCCCCAATGACTCAAAGTGCCACATTTAGCATATATATAATGCATACATCTTGGAGTCTATGAACCTTTCCAGTTACAGCAATGTTTTATTATGTTCTAATAACTAGGAAGGCTGGCCAGACATCATGATTATTTTAGAGATCTCCATTTGGACATTGAGTCAGTTGATCTAGTTTCAAAGAAAAATGTTGGCGTTTTTATTGGGAATGCATTAAATGTAAGATCAACTTGGAAAGAACTGACTTTTTTTTTATTATTAAGATTTTTTGCCATAGGATATGTGCACTCACTGGAGAGAGATAGAAGGAAAGTGAGAAATCACCTCCTTGGGGGTTGGCCATGCTACATGTCTTCTCCAAATTCTCTTCTCAAGATTTTGGGCATGCACACATGCATGTCCAGTGTGATTCTCAAGCTGCTGGTTTGGGGCTTGAATCACAGAGCGAGACATGTGGGATCCCACACTTAACCACTACACCACCTGCTGGCCCCAGAACTGACATCTTTATGTTGTATCATCCTAAGATTGTGATCTGCTGCTCTATTCGCTCAAGTCTGATTTTTATGTTCCTCCGTAACATTTTAAAGTCTTTTTCTTGACAGCTTTTGCACATTTCCAGATATTTCATGTTTTATTGTTGCTAACTTTTGTAAGCTGAGTTTTTAATAGCATTTTCTTTATTATTTTTATTTATTTATTTTAATAATTTGCCTTAACTTTATTGTCAAGTATCTTTCTGGGGTAGGGGAGTGGGAAGACAGCAGTTGTTTTTTTGTTTTTGTTTTTGTTTTTGTTTTACCTAATAAGAGTCTTCAAATGGATGATAGTGAATCTTAAAAGTACAAAAGGGTTGGTGCCAGCAGGTGGCGTGATGGCTAAGACACTGGACTCCCACATGGCTGACTAGGTCTGAATCCTGGTTGCTTGCTTTCTCACTTTCCTTCTCTCTATCTCTCTGTCTCTCTCTGGTGAGCAGACATACCCTATATCAAATAAAATATAGTAATAATCAATAAAACTAAATCAATATTTTTTAAAGTACAAAAGATAAACAGAAAGACCACCATTCTACTAAATACTCCGGCTCCCTTCCCCATTGGCAACCAATATTTGTCAGAGTTTGCTTTATATTCATCTATAGCCATCTCTGCTATATATGCAGACAAGCACCTGAAAGTGCGTCTGGTGACAGTCTGAAAAGCCCTAGGCAAAAGCTAGGACTGAAAAGGTCCAAGAGGGCCAAACATGGGAGCTCTTGTGTCTTATCTCCTTAGTGACTAAGCAAAGAGAAAGTAAAAAGACAAATGTCCTGAGTGGGTCTGAGCCCCTGAAGATAGTTCTAAAACTTCTCCAGTAAAGTGTCCCAGACCAAGTAGCCTTGGGAGAGCTGGGACCCTGGCTTTTGCTTTGATTTGGAAAGAAGACCCAAAAAGAGGTAATAAAAATTAAATGGGGTCATAAGAATGAAATGTTTAATCCAATAAGACTGGTATGCTTATAAGAAAAGGAGGGAGGAACCAGCAGATGCCATAATGGTTACATCACTGGTCTCCCACATGGCTGACCATGGTTTGAGTCCCAGACTCAGAGGCTTGAAACTCAGGCACATGTGTGTGCATGCCTAGAATCCTGAGAGGAGAGTGGAGGAGAAGGGATTGCGTCATGGCCATCCCCCCTGGAGATGACTTCTCACCTTCTGTCTCTCTTTCTCTCTAGTGACTGCATCCCCCCATCGCAAAAATCTCTCTCTAAAAAAAAAAAAAGAGAGAGAGAGAAGAAGAAGAAGAAGAAAAGGAAGAAGGAATGTGAGAAAGCTTTCTCTTCCCATGTGCGCGAAGAGAAAACATGAAGACATTTTTATGTGAGGACGTGGTGAAAAAATGACTATCTGCAAGCCAAGAAGAATGCTCTCACCAAACGTCAACTCTGATAACACCTTGATCTTGGACTTCAAGCTTCCAGAACTGTGAAAAAAAGAATGTCTATTGCTTAAGTTATCTAGTATATGGTATCTTGTTATCAGTCGGACTAATATACGCTCTGTAAAGGCTGCACCAATTTATGATCCCACCAGCACTATAAGAGAGTAATTGTTTCCCCAAACCATCACCAATTAAGGATATTATCAAACTACTTTATCTTCACCAACCTGATAGGTGAAAAATGTGATATCTCAGGGTAGTTTTATTTGCTTTTATATCAAAATAGCCAAGACATCTTTCCATGTATTTGAGAGACAATTGTTATTTCTTTCAAAAAATTGTCTAACATATCTCTCACCCATTTTTCTAATGGTTTGTTGCTTTTTTCCTTAATAATTTGTAGGTACCTTTTACATGAAGGAAATTAGCAATTTGCAATATGAGTTTCAAACATTTTCCCCAATTTGTTGCATGTCTTTTAACTTTGTGAGTTTTTCCATTTAAAACATTTTCAGGACTCAAATTCACCCATCTTTTTTTAGGTTTTACTTCTGAATTGTGTGTGATATTTTAAAAGACTTTCCCAAGCTGACATATATAAATGCCTCACCTTCATTCTAGTACTTTTAGGATTGATTTTTTTACATTTAGAATATCAATCCACCTGGAATTTATTTTCATATCTGATATAAAGTAAAAAGCCAACTTTATTTTGGCAAGTTAGTGGTCCCTAAACCATATACTGGTGAATCCTTATTTTCCCCAATGACTCAAAGTGCCACATTTAGCATATATATAATGCATACATCTTGGAGTCTATGAACCTTTCCAGTTACAGCAATGTTTTATTATGTTCTAATAACTAGGAAGGCTGGCCAGACATCATGATTATTTTAGAGATCTCCATTTGGACATTGAGTCAGTTGATCTAGTTTCAAAGAAAAATGTTGGCGTTTTTATTGGGAATGCATTAAATGTAAGATCAACTTGGAAAGAACTGACTTTTTTTTTATTATTAAGATTTTTTGCCATAGGATATGTGCACTCACTGGAGAGAGATAGAAGGAAAGTGAGAAATCACCTCCTTGGGGGTTGGCCATGCTACATGTCTTCTCCAAATTCTCTTCTCAAGATTTTGGGCATGCACACATGCATGTCCAGTGTGATTCTCAAGCTGCTGGTTTGGGGCTTGAATCACAGAGCGAGACATGTGGGATCCCACACTTAACCACTACACCACCTGCTGGCCCCAGAACTGACATCTTTATGTTGTATCATCCTAAGATTGTGATCTGCTGCTCTATTCGCTCAAGTCTGATTTTTATGTTCCTCCGTAACATTTTAAAGTCTTTTTCTTGACAGCTTTTGCACATTTCCAGATATTTCATGTTTTATTGTTGCTAACTTTTGTAAGCTGAGTTTTTAATAGCATTTTCTTTATTATTTTTATTTATTTATTTTAATAATTTGCCTTAACTTTATTGTCAAGTATCTTTCTGGGGTAGGGGAGTGGGAAGACAGCAGTTGTTTTTTTGTTTTTGTTTTTGTTTTTGTTTTACCTAATAAGAGTCTTCAAATGGATGATAGTGAATCTTAAAAGTACAAAAGGGTTGGTGCCAGCAGGTGGCGTGATGGCTAAGACACTGGACTCCCACATGGCTGACTAGGTCTGAATCCTGGTGGCTTGCTTTCTCACTTTCCTTCTCTCTATCTCTCTGTCTCTCTCTGGTGAGCAGACATACCCTATATCAAATAAAATATAGTAATAATCAATAAAACTAAATCAATATTTTTTAAAGTACAAAAGATAAACAGAAAGACCACCATTCTACTAAATACTCCGGCTCCCTTCCCCATTGGCAACCAATATTTGTCAGAGTTTGCTTTATATTCATCTATAGCCATCTCTGCTATATATGCAGACAAGCACCTGAAAGTGCGTCTGGTGACAGTCTGAAAAGCCCTAGGCAAAAGCTAGGACTGAAAAGGTCCAAGAGGGCCAAACATGGGAGCTCTTGTGTCTTATCTCCTTAGTGACTAAACAAAGAGAAAGTAAAAAGACAAATGTCCTGAGTGGTTCTGAGCCCCTGAAGATAGTTCTAAAACTTCTCCAGTAAAGTGTCCCAGACCAAGTAGCCTTGGGAGAGCTGGGACCCTGGCTTTTGCTTTTAGGATAATTATTTTTTGCCAACAAATTTCACCTCCTTATCTCTTTCACACAGATGAATTTCAGACACATGCTCTCTCTTTATATTATCAAAACAGTCCATGAACATACAGCAACTTGCTGTCGGATATGTACTGATATGTTTAGGATCCTGGATTTGCGTTTGGATATGGGCCTCCTGATTATGAGTCTTCTCTTCCAGGGTCTTCCAGTGTGACCCAGATAGCATCTCTGAGGGTGTCCTGAGGCCACTGAAGCAGCAGGCTTAGAGGTTTCTCTGGACTCTTCCTATTGCCAGACCGCCCTCATTCTACCTCCTACTCCAGGTCTGCCATGCATACCCCTGACTAGGCCTCCTGCACAAGAGATAAAAACAAAAAGGGTTACTCCCAGCAGCTGGTCCTAGAGATATCGGTGGGGAGGGAGTAGGAGGGAAGAACCCTGTCAGGGCACTCACAGGAGGCATAGAAAGAAAGTTTCTGCTATTTATAGATTCTTGAGCCCACAAACTACCTCCATCGCTTTCTGTCTGGAAGACAAATTCAGAGAGGGAGCCCAGAAGCAACAGTTCAAGACAGGCTTTTCTGTGATAGAGTGGCTAGAAGCGGCCTGCAGCCATGGGACAGGGTGAGCCAAGCTTTCCACAGGGCTTACTGGTCTGTCAGTAGCCCTCTGTCTTTACATGCTTTCACTAAAGGAAGTAAGACAGAGGTGGAGGTGATGGTAGTGTGGCTGTGGAGTGGGTTGTGTAAGTGAGTTGGTGGAGGTGATGGTCAGGTGGCTATGGAGTGGGGGTGTTGGCGGAGGTGGAGGTGATGGTGGTGGTGGCATGACTATGGAGTTGAGGTGTGTAAGTGGGTGGTGGTGGAGGTGATGGTGGTGGTGGCGTGACTATGGAGTTGAGGTGTGTAAGTGGGTGGAGGTGGAGGTGATGGTGGTGGTGTGGCTATGGAGTGGGGGTGGGTAGAGGGGGTGGGGGGGGAGGTGGGGGTGGTGGGCTATGGAGTTGAGGTGTGTTAAGTGGGTGGAGGTGGAGGTGATGGTGGTGGTGGCGTGACTATGGAGTTGAGGTGTGTAAGTGGGTGGAGGTGGAGGTGATGGTGGTGGTGTGGCTATGGAGTGGGAGATGTTAGTGGGTGCTGGTGGAGATGACGGTGGTGTGGCTATGGAGCCGGGTATGTAAGTGGGTATTGGTGGAGGTGATGGTAGTGTGACTGTGAAGTGCGGTGTGTAAGTGGTGCTGGAGGAGGTGAAGGTGATGGTGGTGGTGGTGTGACTATGGAGTGGGGTGTGTAAGTGGGTGGTGGTGGAGGTGATGGTGGTGGTGGCATGACTATGGAGTTGAGGTGTATAAGTGGGTGGTGGTGGAGGTGAAGGTGATGGTGGTGGTGGTGTGACTATGGAGTGGGGTGTGGTAGGTAAGTGCATCCCAGAGGATGCAGAAACCTCAGGGGCCTTTATGAGGATCTGTCAGCACAGGTGTAGGCCCGATGCTGCTGTAGTACATCTAAGAAGGCTGTCCTTAGTGTTCTTTTGTTTTTTCTTTTCTTTTTTTTTTTTTAGAGGTTTTTGTTATAGGGAGCGTGCGCTCACCAGACAGAG